TTGTCATTGAGTCTGTGTGTGAGTATCAGTGTGTCTGTCAATGAATGACTGTGTGTCAGATCAGTGAGTCTGTGTGTTTGTCATTGAGTGTGTGTGACTGTCAGTGTGTATACACCACTGAGTGTAGCGTGGCGGAGCGCAGTACAGGAGCTTCTGTTTCCTGTACCCGGCCAGACTGACCGGAGGTGCTCACTGAGAGAGCACTCCCTGTCAGTCTGGCCAGGTACAGGAAATTGAAGCTCCTGTAGGGGATATCCTCCACTCGGCAACGCTACAAGAGAGGTAGGAGGCACACCAGGAAGGGGAGTGCAACCACTAAAGGGGTGGGGGGTGCACCAAGGGACAGGGAGGGGAGGGGAGAGAAACACCAAGGGACAGGAAAAAGAGGGGAGAGCTTAGAAGAACACTAAGGGACAGGGAAGGGAGGGGACAACTAATGGACGGGGAGAGGGGCTGGTTAAGAGGCACATAGGTGAAGATGTTATTTTGGGGGGAGTGGAAAGATACATCTTCGCCTATGTACCCAAAAATCTTTGCACCGGCCCTGTACAGCTGCACAACAAACCACTTACAACCTTATATTTGTACACTCCTCTTCGTTGCATAAAAATCAAAGCCTCAGTTTGATATATGCCCGAAGACTTGTTGGTTGATTACCTAAATCTGACCTTGAGCTTTATTGAATACAGATTTACATATTGGTGATTCTCCCATTGATGACCATCTTCTTCACTTGTGTGTGAACTGTTTTGGGAAAGTTACAAACACAGAGTACAGAAAGAGAAAATATGGCTTGCACTCAACATGAATCCAGGTAATATCCATGTCAATCAATGTTTAATCTGTCTTTAAAAATGTAACTCTCTGTGTTTGCCTCTTTATAAGATAAGCGTAGTCGTTCAACCCTTGAGAATAAATATCCATATGCTAAAGGGACACTATAGTCACAAAAACAACTTTAACTTAATAAAGCAGTTTTTGTGTGTAGATCATGTCTCTGAAGTTTCACTTCTCAATTCCCTGCCATTTAGGAGTTAAATCACTTTTGTTTCTGTTTATATAACTCTAACCACACCTCCCCTGGCTGTGACTGACACAGCCAGCATGAAAACAAAATGCTTTCATTTTTCTCTCCTGCTCTGTAAATTGAACTTGAATTACATACAGGAGGCTCCTGCAGGGTCTAGCAAGCTATTAACAGAGCAAAAGATGAGAAGTTCTAAATTAAACAGCATTTGCAATAAAGGTAGTGGAAACTTTAGGACTCTTTACAGGAAGTGTTTAGGAAAGCTGTGTAAGTTGTGTTAGTCACATGCATGGAGGTATGCCTAGGGCTGCATAAACAAAGTGATTTAACTCCTATATGGCAGAGAATCGAGCAGTGATACACCAAAACTGCTTCATTAAGCTAAAGAAGTACTTGTACCCAGAACACATATTTGCACCTAGCACACTCCTCCTATGCCATGCTAAAGATCCAGTGCATGGAGTGTTCATCAACCAATAGAATGTGGCAGATATATTTCTTCATCAGGTCCATAGGCGTGCGCAGCCAATTACATTAGGGTGTGCACCCTAAAGCACAAACACATGCCGCGTGTGTGTGTATATATATATATATATATATATACATACATACACACACATACATACATATATATACACACACATACACACATACATACACTGCTGTGTGTGTGTGCTGTTTGTGTGCTGTGTGTGAGGGTGCTGGTAATGTGGTAGTGTGTGTGTGTGTGTGTGTGTGTGTGTGTTTGTTAGGGTTCTGTTAGTTTGCTGTGTGAGGGTGCTGTTTGTGTGATGTGTGTGAGGGTGCTGTGTGTGGATGTTGTGTGTGTGTGAGGGTGCTGTTTTTGTGTGAGTGTGCTGTTTGTGTGCTGTGTGTTTGTGAGGGTGCTGTTAGTGTGCTTTGCGTGAGGGTGTTGTGTGTGAGGGTGCTGTGTGTGTGTGTTTGTGAGGGTGCTGTTAGTGTACTGTGTGTGTGAGGGTGCTGTGAGTGTGTGAGGGTGCTATGTGCCATCCCTGGTGGTCCATGTGCCATGTGCCATCCCTGGTGGTCCAGTGCCATCCCTGGAGGTCCAGTGGAGAGTGAACTCTAGTCTGCGGGGCTATAGTTCACTTTCGTGAGACCTGAGCATTGCCGCGGCAACCTGCTGGCTAGAGCTCCCGGGTCCTCTCTTGCCTCCCTCCATGCTGCTGTGGGCTGGTGAGGTAGATCTTTGATCGCCCCACCGGCCCATGGAGGCTTAGAGTAGAGCCGGCGCTCAGATAGCGCCGGCTCTGCATGAGCCGACAGGGGAGCTCCTGAGATCTCCCCTGCCGGTCTCAATCCATAGGCGTGCCGCAGGGATTAGGGGGTGCCCAGGCACACCCGGCACACCCAGTGTGCATGCCTATGATCAGGTCTCCATATCAATATAACCATGACACCTTGTTGTTGAAAGTACCCATATGCATCTTTTGTTATCTGACAATACAGGCAAAGCCACGGAAAATCAACTTAAACTACAACTTTCTGATGAAAGAATGCGCTAATGAAAAAGAAAACACTAGAAATCCTCATGTATTGCAAGCAAATGTATACATTTTCCTAAAGCTACTTCTTGCACCTTTAAGTCTATTGAATATGGCTATCCTGAGAACTGAGTGATAAGAGAGAAAAGGAGAACCGCCTATAGGCAATTACCAAGTCTCCATTTTAGATGCTGTGTTTATTCCTCCAGTGAATGAGTCTTGCTATAGTATAAGACCAGTATGATTGACATATGTCACCCCATTCTAATGTTGATACATTGGCAATCAAGCCAGAATGTCAACAATTGTCTTACAGTGCCTTGCAAAAGTATTCACCCCCCCTTGACTTTTTACCTATTTTGTTACATTACAGCCTTAAGCTCAATGTTTTATTAATCTGAATTTTATGTGATGGATCAGAACACAATAGTCTAAGTTGAAGTGAAATGAGAAAAATATATACATAAAACTATTTTTTAGAAATAGAAAACAGAAAATTGGCATGTGCGTATGTATTCACCCCCTTTGTTATGAAGCCCATAAAAAGCTCTAGTGCAACCATTTACCTTCAGAAGTCACATAATTAGTGAAATGATGTCCACCTGTGTGCAATCTAAGTGTCACATGATCTGTCATTACATACACACACCTTTTTTGAAAGGCCCCAGAGGCTGCAACACCTAAGCAAGAGGCACCACTAACCAAACACTGCCATGAAGACCAAGGAACTCTCCAAACAAGTAAGGGACAATGTTGTTGAGAAGTACAAGTCAGGGTTAGGTTATAAAAAAAATATCCAAATCTTTGATGATCCCCATTAAATCTATCATAACCAAATGGAAAGAACATGGCACAACAGCAAACCTGCCAAGAGACGGCCACCCACCAAAACTCATGGACCGGGTAAGGAGGGCATTAATCAGAGAGCCAGCACAGAGACCTAAGGTAACCCTGGAGGAGGAGCAGAGTTCCACAGCAGAGACTGGAGTATCTGTACATAGGACGACAATAAGCCGTACGCTACATAGAGTTGGGCTTTATGGCAGAGTGGCCAGAAGAAAGCCATTACTTTCAGCAAAAAACTAAATGGCACGTTTTAGTTTGCGAAAAGGCATGTGGGAGATTCCCAAAATGTATGGAGGAAGGTGCTCTGGTCTGATGAGACTAAAATTGAACTTTTCAGCCATCAAAGAAAACGCTATGTCTGGTGCAAACCCAACACATCACATCACCAAAAGAATACCATCCCCACAGTGAAACATGGTGGTGGCAGCATCATGCTGTGAGGATGTTTTTCAGCAGACGGGACTGGGAAACTGGTCAGAGTTGAGGGAAAGATGGATGGTGCTAAATACAGGGATATTCTTGAGCAAAACCTGTACCACTCTGTGCATGATTTGAGGCTAGGACGGAGGTACACCTGCCAGCAGGACAATGACCCCAAACACACTGCTAAAGCAACACTTGAGTGGTTTAAGGGGAAACATGTAAATGTGTTGGAATGGCCTAGTCAAAGACCAGACCTCAATCCAATAGAAAATCTGTGGTTAGGATTAAAGATTGCTGTTCACAAGCGCAAACCATCTAACTTGAAGGAGCTGGAGCAGTTTTGCAAGGAGGAATGGGCAAAACTCCCAGTGGTAAGATGTGGCAACGCCTCCCTCGGGCCCAGCAGTGCTTACCAGAATTGGAGCGTAAGGGCCCAGGGGAGCAGAGGAGTAATTCATCAGTGTGCGTGTGGGCGCGCAACATCGACGTCATGCACGCCCATCGACGTGCGCCGCCTGCACGGGCCACCCGCTATTGAAGAGAATGCTTCAATGATAAGGAGCCCAGTGTAATGCCGCGATGCAGGGAGTTTCCCCCTCCCTGCTTACCAACAAGCCGTGAGAGGAGGGAGATTAACAGGCAGGCCCTGATGAGAGAGCAAGACTCCCATCACACTCAGCCAGATGCCTCCTGAACCAAAAAGGTATGTAAGCAAGGGGGTGGTTAAAATATGTAATGTGATCTGTGTGTGCATGTTATCTGTATGTATGTTAGTGTGTCTGTGTAGCTGTATTTATGTTAGTGTGTGTATATCTGTGTATGTGTTAGTGTGTGCCTGTATCTGTATGTATGTGTTGGTGTGATTCTGTGTATATGCATGTATGCATAGGCGTGCGCACGGGGTGTGCCGGGTGTGCCTGGGCACACCCTAATCCCCGTGGCACGCCTATGGTTTGAGTCCTGCAGGAACAGCGTTCCTGCAGGCACTCAGTGCCCCCTGTCTCACCTCTTGCCCCTGTCATGGGAGGGCAAGAGGTAATGATTCCACCCACCCTGCAGTTCAGCCGCGGCGAGGGAGCTCTCTGCTCTC